CCCCTGATTTGAACTAAATGCTCAAATCAAAGGTAATGCAAGCTGTACCTGATTACTTGAAATTCTGTACAATGGATGAGATGCGCCGAAGTACGACTTCCCCTTTTCCTGGAATCATATTTACCAATCGCCAACTGTTTGAAAGAAGACTACCCCGATTAAGAGAATCCCTTCATATAATTACTGAATACTCTCGCAACCAGGGTCGCAGAGGGAAGTCAACTGCAGTGGCCCGGGTGCTTTAACTGCTCCACTGTAGCACCAACACTCGTGCAATATAACCAACTCAAACGTCGCACAAAATCTAAATTCTATGGTTATCACCATCTTACATCACTTAACTCAGTTAGGGAAACACCTAGGAGCTACATGTGCACAACGCTGGAAGTGAACATTTTTAATTAGCATTTAATGCTGGGCAAGTGGGACGCATGTGATCCATTCGGATTAGCACGCATTCGGCTACACAATTGAGAGGGAACTCACCATCATGAGCGTCAGGCAAGTGGAGAAGAAGATCAGCGCAGCTCTGGGCGGGGAAACGCTGAGTGCCCGAGGCCTTGTAGAGGCGGTCAATGAGGTTTGAAACGATCGTCAGTGCCGTAAAGGCGTCCACATTCTAATGCAAATCCAAAAGTACAAGTTGTACAACTACGAGTTCTGCCTTTGAAAGAATGGAACATTCCAAAGCTGAATGGTTGAGTAATTTTTTACCAAGTTCTCTCCTACCACCAAACTCCCAAGTAGTAGATTGAAATGTCACAGTAATCCAAGGAGATAATTCCGCTTTCTAACTATACCTTGTTATATTCATCGGGCTCGGGTGCATCGCCTTGCATTCTGTCCTCAAACGGCACATCACTTTCAGTGTTGTAACCCTCGTCACTCTAAAACAGAACCCAATTCGGATCAGACACTTTCTGATTACTTTGGTAACATAAATTTTGGAATGAAGATTCACTAATCACCATGAAGCCGTCGCTCCCTGGACGCCTGAAGATGCCCTGGAAGGCCGTGTCAAATTCTCCGGGCGGACCCGGAGGACCCTATACCACACAAACACACAGACAATTAACGCTACTTATTAATTAAAAATAGGAGCCTTATCACTGAAATGCCTAACCTGCGGGCCAGGAGGACCATCTTCTCCCGGAGGGCCTTCCTCGCCTCGTAAACCAACCGGACCAGCTGGACCCTGCACAAAGGAAGACGATTTAAGTAGAGCGGACGAAAAATAAAGCCTGTCATGAATGGAATTGAGGAGAAGCTTGCCTGTGGTCCTGGCGGTCCAGGAGGTCCGACAGCGCCCTTGGGTCCGGCGTCACCACGCGGACCAGCGGGGCCCTAGAAACACGAAAAATGCCTAATTTTAATGACGGAGAAAAAATGATGCAGCCAAAAAGGTTTTCCTCTGCTAACCTGAGTTCCTTGAACACCAACAGAACCCTCTCTACCAGGCGACCCCATGGGACCGGGTTCACCCAGTTGACCCATCATGCCCATATTACCCTGGGGGCCAGTCTCCCCAGGGGGTCCGGGATCACCACGAACACCCGTGGGTCCGATGTCTCCAGGCTCACCGCGCTCTCCTGGTTCGCCTCGAACGCCCTGGAAACCGGGTTCTCCGCGCTTCCCAGCCGGTCCGGGTTCTCCCTTGGGCCCTGTTGGTCCACGTGGGCCCCTAGGTCCTGCAATACCTGGCATTCCGATGTGACCCTGTGGTCCAGCTTCACCAGTAGGTCCGGGAGGACCCTGTCGACCTACTGGACCCTGAATACCGCGCTCACCATCCAAGCCTGCCGGACCGATGTCACCGCGAGGCCCGGTGGGGCCGGGCGCCCCTGTCTTACCAATAGGTCCAGTAGGCCCTTGACGACCGCGGGGTCCACGCAGACCTTCAGCACCCTGTCAAAACACAGTCCGCATTTTTCTATTCTAATCATGAAATTGGAATGATTGGATGAAGATTTACTTACGGTGGCTCCCATTTTTCCCATTTCACCAGGAGGACCAGCTGGACCGATGGGTCCTGTTCTACCCTGTGGACCCATCAATCCTCTAGGTCCAATAGGTCCGACATGGCCCTAGAAAAACAAAAAAAGATTTACAAAGGCCAAATAAACTGAGAGAATAGAGTAAATAAAACACAAAACTAACAGTGGGCCCGGTTTCTCCGCGCATCCCTCTGGGACCCTCAGGACCATCTTCCCCAGGGTCGCCATCAATACCAGGTGGACCGACTGGACCTATATCACCGGGTTCACCTTTAGGACCAGAAGGTCCTGCAGGTCCAGGCAGACCAACGGATCCGGGTTCACCGGTCGAACCGGCTGGACCGCTCTCACCCATTGGACCGGGTTCACCGATGTCACCGATCTCACCTGGCAATCCACGGTCCCCTTCACGTCCCTGCATGCCCTGGAGGCCCTTCTGACCCGGTCGGCCGATGGGACCAACTGGTCCAGCGTCTCCAGTTTCACCGCGTCGGCCACGACGTCCTCTGTCACCCTTTATTCCCTTGGGGCCAACTTCACCCGGCGATCCCGAGGGACCGGGAGGACCAATTTCACCGATCGAACCCTGTTCGCCCTGATCACCATGCATACCTTCGTCACCAGGATTTCCCAGACCACCAGGAAGACCTTTGTGTCCGGGACGACCTTGAGGACCCTGGGGTCCGACTGGACCGTCATCACCCCGTTCGCCAGCGGGACCACGAGGTCCGGGATCACCACGGGGACCGACTGGACCGATAGAACCGGTAGGTCCACGACGACCAGTGTACCCAGTATTGCCAGGTGGCCCAGCTACACCGATAGCGCCCACTTCGCCCATCGCACCCTTCTCCCCGCGTTCACCGGCTGGACCATCCGGACCGGTGTCACCAGCAGGACCACGTTCACCACGGGGACCCAGTGAGCCCATTGCCCCCATTGGACCCGGCGCTCCGCGCTCACCCTACGTTAAAAATAAAAAGTATCTATGCACAACTGACCATGATAATACGAACAGGCAACACCTTTGTAGGTTGCTCATTTATGAGCATAAACCACCCCCCACTTTCGTGGTGCGGGGGTCTGCTCACGTTACCTATCCTGCTAGTCTCTAAACTCTTCAGTGTGTTGACGAAAAATCCTTCCACACTCTCAAAGGAAGCATCTACCTTATAAACTTTAGCCTGCATGGAGTTGGTTTCACGTCACCTAAACCACTTATCGCCCAGGCTTTTCATGCGTTGGTAATAAATCTACTACCTCATTAAGTGCTCAGAAATACGTAGGTACTACGCCTATGGCGCCGCATAATTATAGCCATTTCTAAAAATATAATCAGGAGCCTTCAAGGAAAAGATGAAATGCCCCGTCGCCAACTCACCGCAGGACCCCTGGGCCCCACATCTCCAGCCTCACCAGGTGCTCCGGGGTCACCATGTTTGCCCGTGCCTCCCTCAGGTCCCTGCTGTCCAGCTCGGCCTTCAGGCCCCATGGGACCGCGTTTGCCGCCAGGACCGCGGGCCCCCTTGGCACCAGGTGGACCATGGGGACCGGCAGGACCCGCCTCACCTCGCGCACCCCGGTCACCCTGCTGGCCACGCTGACCCACGGGCCCCACTTCTCCCGTCTTACCGATCGGGCCAGGCGGACCACGGGCTCCCTGTGCTCCTTGCGGACCTATTGGACCCTGGGGGCCCTGGGGACCACCAATTCCCGGCTTGCCTGGAGCTCCTACTGGACCCTGGAAGGGAAATCGGTGTAATTGCAGATACCTGAGTACATACGAAAAAGATGTATACTATGGGGATTAATGGGAAATTGGTTGGCTTTGGAAAGTGACTAATTTAACACCCACTAAAATCCGGATTTAAGGTTTACTTGAGGTCTAAAATTAGATGGATCATTTTGTACTAACCCATTGTATCACTCAGAATGCATAAGATGGTTGTTAATAACTTGAACCATGACGACAGTTGACTGGTCTGTCCATTTGGAGAATAGAGATAGTCTGAATGAAACATGTATATCGAACATTGGCTTGTTCACTCTGTTCAAGTTTGGGAAGTACGGTTTGATGGGTTATTAAGTCGAGGTTGGGATGTAAAGGGAAAAGTGCCAGCAGAGAAGTTGAATTCACCTTAGGACCTGGCTCGCCACCAGGACCTTCAGCGCCACGTTTTCCACGTGGACCCTGAAACCAAAAAATCAATGCATTTAAAACATGACCACAGTGAAAACTAAGCAAATTTTCTGCGGGACTGGAAGATTTACCCTAAAGCCCGTCCGACCGCGTGGACCAGCGGGACCAGGGTCACCAATGTGCCCCTTTTGTCCAACAGGTCCAACAGGACCGGCATCGCCAATCATACCGATGGATCCAACTGGGCCCTCAGGACCGGGGGGACCTCTGGATCCGGGCAATCCACGAGGACCAATAAAGCCCTTTGGTCCTGACGGGCCAATGTCTCCCCGAGGTCCGCGTTTGCCTGCAGGGCCCTGAGGTCCAGGCGGTCCTTGTTCACCAGGAGGACCCTTGAGACCTTCAGGACCTGGCTGGCCCTGAGATCCCTGAAGACCCTGAGCACCTTCGGGACCCTTTGCTCCTGGGGGTCCCTCCTCACCATCAGCGCCTGGGAAGCCTCGGGGACCCATGCCTCCAAGAGGTCCCATACGACCTCGAGAACCGATCTCACCCTTCACACCTCGGATACCAGATGGTCCCATTTTTCCTTGCTTTCCAGGCGGACCAGTGAGACCTGGAAGACCACGAGCCCCGGGTGGACCCTGGAAGCCGGGTTCTCCCTTGGGACCGATCGGACCTGGGGTCCCCTTCGGTCCTTCCGGTCCTTGGAAGCCCATTGGACCCATCATTCCCTGCTCACCGCGCTCACCAGCAGGACCTTGAGCGCCAGTAGGTCCATCAATACCCTAAAATGATGACATAATATTGACTATGAAGTGGAAATTGGGAATACTAATTCCATTTATTAGTGTACACCTACCCTGGGCCCTTGAGGTCCTGAAACGCCACGGGGTCCAGACTTGCCCAGAGGTCCACGAAGACCAATAGCACCCTTGGGACCCATGGGTCCAGTTGGACCCTTTCTTCCCTGGTCTCCGGCTTTACCCTTAGGACCGGGATTTCCAGGTTCACCGATCTCGCCACGCATTCCTGTGGGTCCTTTGGATCCTGGATCACCAGGAAGCCCGACTGGGCCAACTGGACCACGCGGACCCTTGACGCCGTTTCGACCGGGCTCGCCCTCAGCGCCAAACTCGCCCATGGGCCCGGGTGGACCTCGAGAGCCCATTGGACCGGCCATGCCAATGTCTCCCACTGGCCCGACTGGACCCGGAGGGCCGGGAATGCCGATCGGACCGGGTGGACCCTGAACGCCTTGCTCTCCTGGAGGACCCTGTTAGACGAAAAGAAAGGGATATCAGTGTTATTGCTCTTTGCAGGAAGGGAAGTTGTTTGTGCGACTTAAGGATACGCACAGAAGTAAGCTGAAGTTCCTGGTAGGCGGAAACCTCTCTTGCATCGGGGCCTTTGGTCATGGCGCGCTGACGCTTTAAGTAGTCTTCCAGTTCAGGAGGTGGCTAAAGAGAAGGAATAAACGAGAGTTGTTGATCGGCTTCAAGCCCTACAACTTCATATAGTAAGTGTGCAATCTCAGAAGGTGCTGCATCATTCCACTGAGCACGCACTTTCAGCACCATGGAGTCACTTCAAAGGTTAAAAACAACAAAGGTTTGCTAAACGGATAGCTTTTGTCCGGAGAGGTGAAGTAACGAAAAATTTTGCAACCAAGGGCTTAATTTCAGTTAGTAAGGTTTTTGAGGCAGGACTACATTCGACACAAACAACCCTGTTCAAATTACAGGCAGGAAATAGGCTAAGTATCTCACATCCACATTCATCGAAGTCTTTTTCTTCAAAGTAATAACTCCGAATGCAAATGAAACAGCTATTGCTACTGGTGCAAAACTTGCTATCAATATGGCGAAACGATGTTTTAGATGTCTGGAACGACGCTTTCTTGATCGAGAAATGGACGTTTCAGGTTTACTTTGAAGGAGGAAATCGAGAAGAGAAGCCTACCGGTCCACGAGGTCCGGGTGGACCAGGGACGCCGTGCTCGCCATCCATTCCGGGATCACCAGGGGGACCGGGAGGTCCGGGTGGTCCTGGGGGACCGGGGGGACCCGGGGGGCCCATAATCGGCGGTGGCGTGGGTTTTGGTGTGGTGGTGGTAGTAGTTGGACGCGGCGTGGTAGTCGTAGTGGTGGTAGTTGTCGACGTGGTTGTCGTTGTCACCTCGCTGGTGTAGGTGCGAGCTGTGCTCGTGGGCGTTGTCCGTACCTGACGGAGTGTATCAAAAAGTGGTTGAAGTAAGCATATCGGATAGGTAGCTCTGCATGCAAGTTGCCCCACTGATGCGTCATGCCAAACAATGAATCACTTCCGATCACTTCCGTTTCATTCAAACTCAACATTAAATGCATTTCCAACTACCATTAGTGAGGCATTGGAGCAAACAAATCTCGAGATGTATATGAGTTAGCATAGGCTCATGCGAATGTAGACTTACTTCGCGTTTTTCACCTGATATTGTGAAGAAAAATCCACATTGATCAGTTGATACAAAGTGGTAGACTCAAATGTGGGTATATGGCGACTGGTATAGTTTTCAACTTTAAGATAATGAGAATTGAACAGAAAAAAACTCGGATCATTTTGCTAATTTGCGATGAAGACTTCCTCACCGCTATAACAGAGGAACCGCCAGAGGTTAAAAATCCCTAAATGGCGTGATGAAGGTCTCTTTTCGGGTGGCATGAACTCCCATCGTAATTGGAAAAAGCCAACTTCGACTCGACATATCCGCAATCCAAATTTAAACCTTCGGAGGTTCTGCTCCTAGATACATTTTGGTTGGAAGGGTTTGCAGATAACGATTGGAGAGATTAATTTAAAGGCACATCCGCTGTCTAGGACCTTTACCAAAAGGACGGCTTTTAAGCTTTAGTAGTGTGCGAGTCACCACCAGTTTTCACCCATTTGAACGTCAAAGAAGTGTAAATGATCTCATATCAAGGAGATCCTGCATCCGCCCCATCGTTCCAACCTCAACCGATCTGTCCGCGACGTGATTTGGCGCAACCAGCTAACATGCAATAATAAAAAAACACAATCCGCAAGTATGGCGTGCGGGATCAGACAAGAAAGCCTATACGTAACGCTGATAACGAAGAAGGCAAAGGGAATGGAGGAGGACAGGAGTAGGCGTCGACAGAGGGGAGAGGGGATTTTAAGCCAAAACGAAGGACCGCTGTGAGGTAGTAGTAATAGGGTCGAGTAAAGGGCTTACGTCGGCAGCGAGGGCAGCACTCGCCGGGTTCGGCGGGCTGAGTGCCCTCGGGTCCGCAGTCAAGAGCGGGGCAAGTCTGGCGCTCACAGACCACCTCGCCAGTGTCACCGTTGCAGACGCAGGTTGTGCACGAGCGCGGCTGGTTCATCACCTCCCCCGGCTGCAACACTCTCCCATCCTCCAGTGTGCATGTCCGGCCCTCTTCTGCGCATTTAAAATGCACAAAGAACCTTCATCATAACTCCATAAATTAAACTTGTTTTGCCAAAGGTAACCTGAAATTTTACCCCAGTTATAAACCACATTAGTTTAGCGACTATCAAAATTATTTGTCCATCAAGGAAACCCCGAAATTTACGAATTAAAGTCTTTAACCTTTTCAGCGCCTCCTAGTGCCATATTCTATAGGTCTTATATAATGACCTTCCCACTTATGCGTTTCGTGAGTCCTATCACTAATTTCTTCCTCTATTTCATCTTAAATCTAGCCTAGACTTTCCTACCAGTAAAATAACTATTTACCATATTTCACATTTTTGGTGATCAAAATGTCAAGTCTAACGACCAGAGCTGGTGGCTGGATAACGTTCAAGAAAAATTTGTGCTTAAATCCACTTAACCCTACAGGATTTTTCGCCAATAAAGATTCATTTTCGAACCAAATGGTGCAATAAATTTCCAATGAAATAACTGAAATGGCCCTACAATTAGCAGATTTTATACCAAAGAAGGTAAGGGAGTGCATAATGAAAAGAGGGTGAACTTACGTTGAGCCGCAACAAGAAGGGAGGATTGGAGGGAGGCGAGGACAATAAGTAAAGCCAGAGTGACGGTGAGGCAACGACGCTGCAAAGGTCCGCATCGCCTCCTGCTTGGTGGTGAATATCTTCCAAAGTTTTCTTCGCGGCCGCTGACCGCCGCCTTTCCACGATGGGACGGTTCAGCCGCCATAATGCTGTCGGGCGTAGGAAATCCCTCTCCAAACCCCTACTGCAGCTGGGGATGGTCCGGTCCGCACAGTTAAGAAGTGGACCAACTCTCTGTTTGACAGCACCAACCTCTCACCCACGTCCACCGCCCCTCATCAGGCCCGCGCGCGTGCACACGCATGCATGACTGTGTGTAGTGGGCACGACGTGGTGCGGTGCGCACCCCGCCAGCCACATCCTTGACGCGCACCAGTGACGGCACGGCACAGTGCTCTGATCAATGTTCATATTGGCGCAGCTGGACTCACCAATCAGGTGAAAGTAGGCCAAGTGGATTGTGGTCATTCGTTTGGCGGGCAAAAATTAGCGGTTGACTAGACGCCGGTTTTGCTGATTCCCCACAGTCAATTTGATAATGCTTGGGGCACACAGTATCCAACGTCTCATACATAGAGCACAAAACTTTACTGCTAGATCATGTACTGATCCGCCTTTTCATGAGGATAATGTTCATTTTGAAGTGAATGTCCTGTATTTCTACTTAGGCTTAATTAATTTTCTAGCAGGGAGACATTACCTCCAACATCACCGGCACTATCGATACTGCAATAAACTATCTTAATTTTACCCACTGAGCAATAAAATGAGCTTGTTCACACACCCGAAATGGCTTTAGCTGCCCAGTTGAGCAAAACGATTGCTAGGGGTGAAAACCCATCTATTAAAGGCCTGCTTGTGAGGCGGCTAAATAGGATTGAATTGCCTACAACGCTCCACCAACAAAGTGAACCGGCATGGCCAGAATAATGGATCAATTTTTGCATGGCGTGGGCGCAAATGAGCGTCCTACTTTCCATGCTGCCCACTGGGCATAACCTGCTTTCGTCGTCGGACGTGCAGCCGCACGCGCACCTCCCATTGGTTGAGCCTGCGCCAGCCAGAGTGCGTGCTTAGGTATGTGCGTGCGTGCGCGCTCACGAAAAGCTGGGAGTGGGACACCGTGCAGAGGGCCGCGGAACCCGGAGTGCGCACACGCACCGAGTTGGTTGCGATCGGGGTTGGTCGCTCCACGTCCCGTCCGTCGGTTCCCAGTACTGGCGATACTACTCTCGTCTGGGTGAGCGTGTGGCACAGTGCGCAGACGCGAACGCAGCAGCATGGGGTCTACACGAAGACTCTGTTTGCTGGCTCTCGCCTGCTTGCTTCTCGTCACCGTTTCATTCGGTAGGTCGCCTCTATCCCTCCTTCCTAAAAAGCCATCTCGCTCAGATTCCTTTCCCATATGTCTGTATGCCACAATGACTTTTAACTATTCTTGTTATTCTCAAACATTGAATTTGATAAACGCGTCTCTAAACTCTTCTCCAAATTTCGTTTCCAGGTGAGCCATTGAGGCGTTTGAAGAAAACGAACAACGTAAGTGGAACATTCTCTATTAACTCAAGTTGATTTTACCCTTGAAAACCGACCTTATAAACCGGTGTCGTTTTCAGTTACTTGTTTCTCACCAATCCGTGTTGATTCACCTTATTAGGAAGGTTATCATTGCATTCCTACTTCCATGCTGAACGCTTGTTCCCCCAGTAGCTGTTTAATCAATCAGACAAACTTACGACCCGTTTACTCTGTGTTGCCTTTAGAAAGGGGGTAAGTAGACGAGAGCCGGTACGGTGGAAGCATGTACTATTTTGTTTGAGTAGGAGCTGCATGACAGTGGTTATTTTATTCACCACTCCAGATTGCTTTCACGTCGACTGTCGCGCCTGCTAATTACCCACGTCCTAGATGAGAGAGTGAATTTATTTAATTGCTTAGTATTTCACTTTTTAGACGAAGAACTGATTCGTGTTAGAAGGCAAGATGAAAATGCACCGGCAAGTGGTGTGAGTTGTCACTTCCTGCTGTGATAATCCCACTGTTTTCTGTCTCCAATCAAGAGGTATCCATATTTACAAGTTCTGATGACGTTGTAGAGTGTGAAAGGTCCAGCTCCATTCGGCGACACGCAGTATCGCCCTGGACAGGCCGGACCTCAGGGGGAACGCGGGCCCCAAGGACCACCGGGTCTAGACGGAGAAATGGGGCCACCTGGGCCACCGGGACCGCCTGGCCCCGCAGGATCAAATGGTCCTGAGGGCCCGCCCGGCCCACCCGGTCCACCCGGAGTCGACGGACGCATGGGCCGCGATGGAGAACCCGGATTGCCTGGACCGCAGGGTGATATGGGTCCGCCCGGTCCCATGGGCCCAACCGGTCCCCCTGGTGCAAAAGGCCCCACGGGTCCTCAGGGTTCCAAGGGCGAGCGCGGTGATCAGGGTCGTGACGGACCTGAGGGTATGCGTGGGGAGACAGGTCACCAAGGTCCGGGTGGTCGTGCGGGTCCACGAGGAACACGAGGACCAGCAGGACCTGTTGGAGCTCAAGGACCCCGTGGTCCAGACGGAGCCGACGGAATGGTCGGTCCACCCGGTCCCGTCGGACCCTCTGG